CTTATCTTATGGAGCAACTAGGTTAGGATTCAACGGAATAAAATAAAAATATTGAATACCCAATTTATCCCCACGCTATTCAATATATTTATAGTAATCTGATAAGATTATGTTGAAGGAGAAAAGAGAAAGAAAAAATAAAATATAATGCAATAAATACAAATATATTGTGTAACGTGGGAATTTATTGGGTATCCAATATTGATATCCTATCATATTGAATCCTAACCCAGCTCCTCCCATAAGATAAGAAATCATGCATTAGATAGGATAAAATGAGACAATAGGATAAGCTAATCATATCCTATTGACTCACCAAACAAGAGATAAAAATAGGATATGATAAGCTAATCATGCATTGGATATGATGGGCCCAATATTGGACAATCAATTGGGTTTTAAGCCCATGGTTATTTTGTTTTGATATTTTAGGTCAAAGCCCATGGGTTTTCTCTCAGAACCAGCCGACAACATGGCCGCACCACCGTCTTTGAGTTTGTTCTCAACTTGCTTTTGTTGATTGTGTTTTGGTCTCTCTCTGATATTGGTGCCTCTGCTTCTTCACCTTCACCTTCACCTCTCTCTCTCTCTCTCTCTCTCATATAGCTGCTACGCAGCACCCTCACCGTCAGCTTTTGCAGAAGAAGAGATAGATCCCTTAATCACCCTTCTCTACACAGTAAGTCTTCTAATTCATTGCTTTTCACTACAACTTGTTTTCTTAAAAGTTATTATGTCCGTCTAATGATTATTAGACTGCATCCATCATATTGTTATTGGTTCAATAATAATTAGATAAGTTCCAGAATCTTGTATCAATCATATTTTATTTATGGACGAAATAATTATTATATGATCTGATAGTCTCTGTATTGATAATCCCTGATCATGTCAGGCCAAAAGTTCATGTCTGTTGGGTATTCTTCACTCGGTATATTTGCTGGCAAGTTTGGTTCACAATGATTCTCTTGATTTTCACATAAATTTTTGGATGAGTAACCCTTATGTCGAACCCAGCATAGTACCTAGTCATCCAACTGTGACAGCATGAGACTGGCTTATTATTATTGAATCGAGTTCAAGTACTATGAATAATGGATCTACCTACTAGAATTTTTTTTTTATCTTGGTATAAGATGCTTGTGTTATTTAAAAGGATATACACTTAACTCTTGAAAATAACAATCATGAAACCAAATGAATAAAAGGTCTATAGTTATGGAATATGAAGGTTTATTAAACTATTGTGTTTTGGGTTATTGAAAACACAAAAAATAGTCAAAAACCTAATTCCCAAATGTGAGAACTTTCCTTCGTGCTTATGGTTGTTGCAAATAAGGGAGATGTTCTCTAACGAGAGATATTGAAAATTTAAGGAATAGAGAAAATGAAAGAGAAGACGAAGGACAATGCTTATTATACATATAATTATTATATTTGATTGTTTTCATATTTTTAGGACAATGTTTGGTTCATTACTTATTATGTTGTAGGAGAAAAGTGAAATTCTTATGTTTGAAATGCTTAATGAAAAGATTAGTGTATTTTTATATTTTTTATTTGATATATAATCAATGATAATTGTTCATTTGAATTTTCAATGTTATGTGATATTATTTAGTACATAATTTAGATCATTATGCTACAATTCATATTAAATTTTTTTTCCTAATAAATATTTTAATAATTTAATATGTCAAATTTTCTGGCACCACCTAAATTATTGGGCTGGCTCCGCAACTGCATATAAGTTTACTTATGCATGTTAGTTAATGGAACTCCTCTTGCTTTATCATTTGAAAATAAATTAATGATGACATGAGCAAAAATGTGTTGATAACTCAATTTCTGATAAGATTCTTATGTGCAAAGCTAATTCACCTATAAAGTCAATTGTATTAGAAAAGATTATTTTCTTTTATTTATCTAGATTCATTAGCTGTTTTACTGTTTGGTTGGTGATGTGGTTGTAATATATTTGATTTTCCAAGTTAAAATACTAAGCTTTAAGGTCAAAAGAGCATACTTATCAATACATTTTATGGATTAATTGTTAGTTTTTCATTTTCAATGTTATTTCTCACTCAAGTTTATATTTGGATAGGAATTTAGCATGAAAAATGAGAATTTGCGCAGAAGGAAAATTTGGATCAGATGGGCGGCGCTATCAGCGCGGAATAAATGCATTTTCAGTGAAAAATCCGCGCCATCAGCGCGGAAGAAGTATGACCGGCGCTGATAGCGTGGATTAATTCAAATTCAGTACAAAAAGGCGCCATCAGCGCCGGTTTTCGAGCAGGAAGACACCGTGTTTTGAACGCGTGCGTGCAAAATTAAAAAGGGGGATCAGAAGACAAAAATGATAGAGAGGGAGAGCTTGAAAAGAACTTCTGGAGCTTTTTGCGGAGATTGATCTTGGAGATTATTTTCTCTTCCTTTTGAATTCTTATTCTTCTTTTATGAATCATTGTAATTCAGCTATGACCATGTCTGGCTAGTTTCCTTCATTGTGGGTAGGGTCACAGTTGGTTAAAAAGCCAACTCTTAAAACCTATCACCCAATACTTAGGACAAAAAAAGGTAAAATAATATAGGATAATATATTTATGGGATTAAAGTGTCTGCTGTAACTTTAGATAAAAGTGCCTGCTGTGCAATTAAACAGTGTCGTTTTGGTCTTTTTTTAAAAGTCAAATTGCTTACTGTGCAACTCTTCCGTATTCATCTTGTTCGCATGCCAGTTTTTTTTTCCCATAATGGCAGTGTGATATTAAGGGAAAAAGCATTGGAAAGATCATTCAGTAATTTGACTATCTTTACTGACATATGAATTAATCGCATCGAGAGAATGACATGTTTTGGTCGGAGTGGGTGATCGCGGAACCCAATTAAAATGGCGACAATAACAAAAAAAAAAAATGGAATGCAATAAAGTTAATATTACATGATGCTAAATGCACGATTGAACAGTTAACTTATAGTCTATTCTATAGAATGCATAATATAAATAACTGGTGTAAACGAACGCCATAATATGACAATCGAAGAGTTAAAAAGATTCGCCCCATCTAAGAAGAGGGGGGAACAAGAGGTAGACTTCCGCAAAGATTTAAAATGGCATTACCTAATTGCAGTAGGGCATAAGCGAGTGCCTTCCTGGTTGATCTTTCCAACGCTTTTTCCCTTAATATCACACTGCCATTAAGGGAAAAAAGAAACTGGCATGCGAACGAGATGAATACAGAAGAGTTGCACAGTAAGTAATTTGATTTTTAAAAAAAGACCAAAACGACACTGTTTAACAGCACAGCAGGCACTCTTATGTAAAGTTACAGCAGAAACTTTAATCCCTATATTTATTGGGGAAAAAAGTATCTAATGTTACTTTAGACAACTTTGTCTAATGTTCATTGAAACGACGTAGTTTTATGGTTGAAAAATTAAAAAAATAGAATGATAAAGACTATTATAACCCTGAAATAAATTAAAATTACAAAAACACCATGATTTCCGCTCCAAAACGACGTCGTTTTGGTGAACATGACATAAAGTTATCTAAAGTAACTTTAGAAAAAATAAACCCATATTCATTATGTAGGAGGAAAATAAAAGAATTTCATGCACATACAACAATAGATGAAGAGCTCGTTAATTTTTGTTTCTCTCTCTTTGATTGCTATCTCTCTCTTTTGATTGCTGTCTATGCAGGAAAACTTTTTATTTTCCTGTTTAAATGACAAATATATTACCCAATAATATAACCTTCTCTCATACAATTGGCTTTATGTGTCGGAGAATCAACTTTGTACATAACAACCTTATCAGAATTTGAGTTATCAACACATTTTTGCTCCTGTCATCATTAATTTATTATGAATTGATAAAGGAAGAGGAGCTTCATTAACTAGCATGCATAAGTAAACTTAATATGTCAACCACGGGAATTAAAGAAACAAAATACAACTGCTAAAGAATTAAAAGAATGAGATATACGATGAGCACTTTGAGTGAATTAAAATAATTAACAAGTTTATTTAAATATATGAAATGCACTGAATAAAGAAAGAATATGATAGGGATTTGATATTACATCTCAACCTAAAATTAAGGTATTTGATGTATCATATTTAATTTATTCCTTTGAAATGCAGATCTACCACACTTAAATTCCCAATAGTATTTAAGAGAAATCTTTGTCATCGACTATTGTTTTGTTCTTAAAACTATATATATAACTAGAGAAAAATGTGTGTCATTTTAAATGACATACCTTATGTCCTTTTATTTTATAAAGAGGTGTGACAATAGTTGTTAAAAAATCGATTTATCACTACGGTTTTACATTTTTACGATTTTTTTTTCATCAAAACGATTTTATCAATATTTCAAACGTTTTTACGTTTTTATGATTTTTTTACATTACGATTTTAAATTTTACGATTTTTTAATCTCTCTCCGATTTTGCTTAATTTTTTTTTCTTCCATGATTTATCTTTTTTTTTTTTACTTAAAATGACATAATTTTATGTCCTTTAAAATAGTACACATTTTTTCCATATAACTATTATTATTAGAATTAATTTACTTTTGTGTCTGAGTTCTCGTCACCATTTCTTCCATGAATCCTTGTCGATCTTTTTCTCAATTGCTGGCAGTCTGGCACTTTTGAGCGAATAAACTAGATTCAGTAGTGTTGACATTTTTCTGTAAAAAATAAAAGTAAAAATAAAAATAAAAAGAAAAAAATTTGCTGAAGGAATCTTCGCTTAATTAGGGTCAATTAAGAAAAGAATAGACAGAACATCAAACAAGTGATGTTGGCCATATCTTGGAATGAATTCAAAACTTTGGTCAGCACTTCCCCAAGAAAATTTTCCATCAATACCTGCCAAAAATGTAATTAATAAACAAAGGTTAGACAGTGTGAGAAAGTAGTAAACCTCACCAGCAATTAAGTAAAAAAGTTATTAATATATATGAAAGCAAAGCAAAGAGAGTTGTTAAGATGATGAGGTCACCATTTCATCAGAGAACTCTTTTGAGATCACAGTAAGCAGTGTAATTCCAGCATGGCGCTTCTTCCATTCCTTGGAATCCAAGTAAAGAGGCAACAGTTCTAAAGCAATTGCCAATACTTTACTCCCTCCAAGTGTAACACAAAGTTGTTTCAAACACTTTATTCCAAAGTCATGGTCATGGTCATGGTCACCAACACCACCATCCTCTTCAATACACAGAAGCATTTTCATAGAAACGAGGAACAACCTAACCACAGCTTGAGAAGGAAGGTTCAGCAACACGTGTTCACCGTACTCTTTTACCTCAGTCATGGCCATAACCAACTCAAACGCCAAACGATGCGTTTCATTGGTCAAACCCTCACTCTCCGCGATCTGAAGCGCGTCGAGAACCATGTCACTCACGTAAGGCTTCAACAGAAGAGGCTCTTGAGACAACATATTTATCAACTCAACGAACGCGATTCGAAAATAGGTACCTTCGAAACCGTGCAATAGTGTGAACACGCCAGCCATCATCGCACGTAAGAGCTCATGGAACAGTGAAGGATCAGAGAACAACTGAACCAAACTCACAACCGCACCAAACGACGCAACCTGAACGTTAGGGTTCGACGACGCCAGATAAATCAAGAACGACGAATGAAGAAGGTGGCGGCGGTCGCGGAGAGCATCGCAAATAAGAAAACAACAATCGTTTGGCAACGAACACAAAACCAACAGCGCGACTTCACGAAACTTGTCGTCGTCGTTTGAAGCGATAGACGACACAAGCCATTCAAGAATCTGAGGCCAGTGTTGATGAGTTTTGTATATAGCGGAAACGGTTTCAGCGAGGACATAGAAAACGAGTCTTGGGACCTCTGACTCCATCACTATCAGAAGAAAGGTTTTGGATTCGGAAGATTTTGGATTCTTTTTCTTTTTCTTGGTGTGGTTTGGAAGGTTTTGGATTCTTGCTGAATGTTTACATTGACATGCAAGGGTTGCCTTATATATATAGAAAACTTTTTGGGCTCGTTTGGTGGGTAGGATATGATATGAGGCTGATAAGGGTAGGATATGATATGGGGCTGATAAACCTCCTGTGTTTGATGAGCACCTGATTAGTAATCTGATAAGATTATGTTGAAGGAGAAAAGAGAAAGAAAAAATAAAATATAATGCAATAAATACAAATATATTGGGTAACATGGATATTTATTGGGTATCCAATATTGATATCCTATCCTATTGAATCGTAACCCAGCTCCTCCCATAAGATAAGAAATCATGCATTGGATAGGATAAAATAAGACAATAGGATAAGCTAATCATATCCTATTGACTCACCAAACAAGAGATAAAAATAGGATATAGTAAACTATCCTATCCTATCTTCTTTATCAGGTGCTCCAAACATATCCTTGTATTCTTAAATGACGAAAAAAGGTCTGATTTTAAGATGGCTTTTCAAAATTAAAGACTCTTACGCAATATCTGTAAAAGTCAAAAACTGTTTTGTGTTAATATATCGGGATCATTGGTTGTACTTTCAAAGTACATCAAATTGTGTGATTTTTTTTTTTTTGATAAATAATTGTGTGCTTTTAATTAGGATACCTTATTCGCTTATTTGGAGGACTAGATCAAGAAGATATGATATGCTAATTTATCATATTTTACTTTTAACTCATGTTTGGTGAATCAATAAGATATGATTAGTTTATACTATTGTCTCATTTTATCCTATTCAATATTTCTTATCTTATGGAGGAACTAGGTTAGGATTCAACGGAATAAAATAAAAATATTGAATACCCAATATATCCCCACGCTATTCAATATATTTATAGTAATCTGATAAGATTATGTTGAAGGAGAAAAGAGAAAGAAAAAATAAAATATAATGCAATAAATACAAATATATTGTGTAACGTGGGAATTTATTGGGTATCCAATATTGATATCCTATCCTATTGAATCCTAACCCAGCTCCTCCCATAAGATAAGAAATCATGCATTAGATAGGATAAAATGAGACAATAGGATAATCTAATCATATCCTATTGACTCACCAAACAAGAGATAAAAATAGGATATGATAAGCTAATCATGCATTGGATATGATGGGCCCAATATTGGACAATCAATTGGGTTTTAAGCCCATGGTTATTTTGTTTTGAGATTTTAGGTCAAAGCCCATGGGTTTTCTCTCAGAACCAGCCGACAACATGGCCGCACCACCGTCTTTGAGTTTGTTCTCAACTTGGTTTTGTTGATTGTGTTTTGGTCTCTCTCTGATATTGGTGCCTCTGCTTCTTCACCTTCACCTTCACCCTCTCTCTCTCTCTCTCTCTCTCTCTCTCTCTCTCATATAGCTGCTACGCGGCACTCTCACCGTCGGCTTTTGCAGAAGAAGAGATAGATCCCTTTATCACCCTTCTCTACACAGTAAGTCTTCTAATTCATTGCTTTTCACCACAACTTGTTTTCTTAAAAGTTATTATGTCCGTCTAATGATTATTAGACTGAGATTAATAACATGAACTTTATGAAAACATTCATCGTTCTTTTTTTGTGTGATGCAACTGTTGGAATTACTAATACATAGCCGATTTTGTTTTTATCTGCATGCTACAAGATAGGTCAATTTTTTTACTGTATTTTGTTTTCTATTTATGCTCAAATCAGTGCATCCATCATATTGTTATTGGTTCAATAATAATTAGATAAGTTCCAGAATCTTGTATCAATCATATTTTATTTATGGACGAAATAATTATTATATGATCTGATAGTCTCTGTATTGATAATCCCTGATCATGTCAGGCCAAAAGTTCATGTCTGTTGGGTATTCTTCACTCGGTATATTTGCTGGCAAGTTTGGTTCACAATGATTCTCTTGATTTTCACATAAATTTTTGGATGAGTAACCCTTATGTCGAACCCAGCATAGTACCTAGTCATCCAACTGTGACAGCATGAGACTGGCTTATTATTATTGAATCGAGTTCAAGTACTATGAATAAGGGATCATGCATGTTACCTACTAGAATTTTTTTTTTATCTTGGTATAAGATGCTTGTGTTATTTAAAAGGATACACACTTAACTCTTGAAAATAACAATCATGAAACCAAATGAATAACAGGTCTATAGTTATGGAATATGAAGGTTTATTAAACTATTGTGTTTTGGGTTATTGAAAACACAAAAAATAGTCAAAAACCTAATTCCCAAATGTGAGAACTTTCCTTCGTGCTTATGGTTGTTGCAAATAAGGGAGATGTTCTCTAACGAGAGATATTGAAAATTTAAGGAATAGAGAAAATGAAAGAGAAGACGAAGGACAATGCTTATTATACATATAATTATTATATTTGATTGTTTTCATATTTTTAGGACAATGTTTGGTTCATTACTTATTATGTTGTAGGAGAAAAGTGAAATTCTTATGTTTGAAATGCTTACTGAAAAGATTAGTGTATTTTTATATTTTTTATTTGATATATAATCAATGATAATTGTTCATTTGAATTTTCAATGTTATGTGATATTATTTAGTACATAATTTAGATCATTATGCTACAATTCATATTAAATTTTTTTTCCTAATAAATATTTTAATAATTTAATATGTCAAATTTTCTGGCACCACCTAAATTATTGGGCTGGCTCCGCAACTGCATATAAGTTTACTTATGCATGTTAGTTAATGGAACTCCTCTTGCTTTATCATTTGAAAATAAATTAATGATGACATGAGCAAAAATGTGTTGATAACTCAATTTCTGATAAGATTCTTATGTGCAAAGCTAATTCACCTATAAAGTCAATTGTATTAGAAAAGATTATTTTCTTTTATTTATCTAGATTCATTAGCTGTTTTACTGTTTGGTTGGTGATGTGGTTGTAATATATTTGATTTTCCAAGTTAAAATACTAAGCTTTAAGGTCAAAAGAGCATACTTATCAATACATTTTATGGATTAATTGTTAGTTTTTCATTTTCAATGTTATTTCTCACTCAAGTTTATATTTGGATAGGAATTTAGCATGAAAAATGAGAATTTGCGCAGAAGGAAAATTTGGATCAGATGGGCGGCGCTATCAGCGCGGAATAAATGCATTTTCAGTGAAAAATCCGCGCCATCAGCGCGGAAGAAGTATGACCGGCGCTGATAGCGTGGATTAATTCAAATTCAGTACAAAAAGGCGCCATCAGCGCCGGTTTTCGAGCAGGAAGACACCGTGTTTTGAACGCGTGCGTGCAAAATTAAAAAGGGGGATCAGAAGACAAAAATGATAGAGAGGGAGAGCTTGAAAAGAACTTCTGGAGCTTTTTGCGGAGATTGATCTTGGAGATTATTTTCTCTTCCTTTTGAATTCTTATTCTTCTTTTATGAATCATTGTAATTCAGCTATGACCATGTCTGGCTAGTTTCCTTCATTGTGGGTAGGGTCACAGTTGGTTAAAAAGCCAACTCTTAAAACCTATCACCCAATACATAGGACAAAAAAAGGTAAAATAATATAGGATAATATATTTATGGGATTAAAGTGTCTGCTGTAACTTTAGATAAAAGTGCCTGCTGCGCAATTAAACAGTGTCGTTTTGGTCTTTTTTTAAAAGTCAAATTGCTTACTGTGCAACTCTTCCGTATTCATCTTGTTCGCATGCCAGTTTCTTTTTCCCTTAATGGCAGTGTGATATTAAGGGAAAAAGCGTTGGAAAGATCATTCAGTAATTTGACTATCTTTACTGACATATGAATTAATCGCATCGAGAGAATGACATGTTTTGGTCGGAGTGGGTGATCGCGGAACCCAATTAAAATGGCGACAATAACAAAAAAAAAATGGAATGCAATAAAGTTAATATTACATGATGCTAAATGCACGATTGAACAGTTAACTTATAGTCTATTCTATAGAATGCATAATATAAATAACTGGTGTAAACGAACGCCATAATATGACAATCGAAGAGTTAAAAAGATTCGCCCCATCTAAGAAGAGGGGGGAACAAGAGGTAGACTTCCGCAAAGATTTAAAATGGCATTACCTAATTGCAGTAGGGCATAAGCGAGTGACTTCCTGGTTGATCTTTCCAACGCTTTTTCCCTTAATATCACACTGCCATTAAGGGAAAAAAGAAACTGGCATGCGAACGAGATGAATACAGAAGAGTTGCACAATAAGTAATTTGATTTTTTAAAAAAAAGACCAAAACGACACCGTTTAACTGCACAGCAGGCACTCTTATGTAAAGTTACAGCAGAAACTTTAATCCCTATATTTATTGGGGAAAAAAGTATCTAATGTTACTTTAGACAACTTTGTCTAATGTTCATTGAAACGACGTAGTTTTATGGTTGAAAAATTAAAAAAATAGAATGAAAAAGACTATTATAACCCTGAAATAAATTAAAATTACAAAAACACCATGATTTCCGCTCCAAAACGACGTCGTTTTGGTGAACATGACATAAAGTTATCTAAAGTAACTTTAGAAAAAATAAACCCATATTTATTATGTAGGAGGAAAATAAAAGAATTTCATGCACATACAACAATAGATGAAGAGCTCGTTAATTTTTGTTTCTCTCTCTTTGATTGCTATCTCTCTCTTTAGATTGCTGTCTATGCAGGAAAACTTTTTATTTTCCTGTTTAAATGACAAATATATTACCCAATAATATAACCTTCTCTCATACAATTGGCTTTATGTATCGGAGAATCAACTTTGTACATAACAACCTTATCAGAATTTGAGTTATCAACACATTTTTGCTCCTGTCATCATTAATTTATTATGAATTGATAAAGGAAGAGGAGCTTCATTAACTAGCATGCATAAGTAAACTTAATATGTCAACCACGGGAATTAAA